AGTACAACTCAATTTTTTCCGACGAGCCTTCTCTCTTCATCATATTATCTCGGAATGCACACTACCTCAGCTATCCATATATATATATATATATATATATATATATATATATATATATAGCAGGAATGGGCGCACACCGATCTATTGGCTTCACGAAGCAAACAAGTTCCGTATGGGTGGCAAAGGTCACGAACAGACAACCAATTACCAGGCCGAAGTCGGCCAAGTCATAATAGCAGCGAGGAGGGACGACAGAGAATGCGGGTAGATTGCTACTGTACTGTTTCGGGCTTATTGTGCCTTTATGCAGCCAATCATAACCCTGACCACCAGCAGCTGCGACCAGAAACACAAACATGCGCACAGACGCACCTGGGGCAGTTGATCCACCACTGGGGTCTACCAGATAGGTCATAAGCACTTCATCGAACCGAAGTTCATCAGTGCAGCGACAGAGAATGACAGGTGGCGAGGCACTGATGAACTTCGGTTCGATGAAGTGCTTATGACCCATCTTACGCATATATATGTATATTTTTATTTCGAACGAAATAAGCTTTTTGGAAATGATAAACAAGTTTTATTGTAAATTTTCGATCTTGGTTCCTCAAGTCGTCTTCAGACGTGAAGTGCGCAAAGCATTCAACATTTAAACATATCGAAAAAATCGATTTTGCCTTCTCAATCCTCCTGGTATAATGTTCTGAATGTCCAATGCCTTTTTCACTTTTCCTTGAGGCTGTTGTACACCGTATCCAATTCTAAGCGTCGACTGATGCATGCGTTATCTGAATGAATGGCCTCTAAATGTTCACGGTTCCTTTTAGATGAGGAGACACCTGTAGCGTCTAAGCGGGGATGGTGTACGCTCAGAATGATATTACCGAGAAAGACAAGGGAGACTGGAATGGCCATTTCTGGCTTATTAGCCGTCGTCAGTCAGCCATACCCAAGCCCGAAGTGTGGAACACACGAGCCTCGAACTCGCGACCTGTTGGTTTAGAAGTCAACGCCTCTACTCACCGGGTCACGAGCCCGTTGCCCTGTCGGTTCTCGATCGGGAATATACAATGTTAGGGGGCGCTAGAGAAAGAGAGCCCTTAAGGCCCAACGGAACGAGTGAGTTCCGTACGAACGATCGGTGAGCGCCCCCTAACACGGTGTACGCTCAGTTCGCCACAACTTCAGGCCATATCCCAAGCTGTTAGAAGCAGGACGCCAATTGATTAGGACACTTTATTCTGTACATAATAGTGAAGGGGAAATTTTGCAACCGGACGAGGATGCGTCCGGTGCCGCGGAGGCGGCGTCCGCGAGAGCGACGAGCCCTGTGTCGCCGAAGGTCGCCGCTTCAAAAGTGTTGTGACCTTCTTGCTTCTGTGCTGTCTGCTCTAGATCACGTCCGCAAGGGTGGCGTCCCGTGTGTGCACTTGTAACCAATCAGCGATAGGAATTGCGTTGACTGGCTCCGATCCCACGCGATGGTAGTGACAAGCCTCGCGTGGTGCAGGCAAATTATCGACCAGATGCGTGGTGCAGACAGTGAATTGCAACGAAACAAATCGAAGGCGGGCAGACGTGCGTGTCATAGCAGACTGTCGCTAGGACGTAGGTGCAGGCGGTAGCGAGAGGCGCGACGTAGCCAGTATGGCTGTCCACTATACAACTACAATGCGAGTCCTGTCCCAGGCGAATTTGTGTCAAGTTTCCAACGTATGCATGGCAACTTGGGGCAAGTAGTCTCGCCTTCTTACGGCCAATTGATGTTTGTGTATTTGTGTAGAGGCCGATTTCCCAGTTTTACCACAGTAAACCGCATTACAGGTGTTGCATGTTATCTTATAGACGACTTCCTTCTTATCTAAATAGCCAACCCTATCGTTAGGGTGTACAAGCTTGTTACGAAGTTTTGTCGTCGGCTTGTGCGCCACATGTATTTGGTGCTTCCACAGGTGTCTGTCAACTAGTTCGGACACATTCGTAATGTACGGAAGTGTTCGCCAGTTTTTTGATTTGGGCGCCTGATCGGAACAATCTAGTTCCTTCTCTATTTCTTTTAACTCCTGTCGTCGCATGCATCGGTGTACAAAATATCCAGGATATCCATTCTGGGAAAACAGTTGGAACAAATAATTCAGTTCTGTTTGATATGTTTTGTTGTCAGAGCAGTGAGTTCTTGCTCGGTTAAGGAGGCTGTTCACGGCACTCCGTTTGTGAGAGATCGGGTGATTGCTCTCGTAATGCAAAAGAACTTCCGGGTAAGTTCCTTTGCGGTAAACCGAAGTGTGAAATGTCCCGTCATCAAGAAACCGGAGTTTGCTGTCAGCTTCTTTCTCGAGCGTGAATGTGATTCCTGGAAGTGTTCAGTTAATAATATTATGGAGTATTTCCCGTTGATCACTTTTGACAATGACAAACGTGTCATTAACATATCGTGCCCATAATTTGGGGTTAACTAGTAGCAAGGCGATAACCTCTAATTTCTGCATCGTGACTTCTGCGAGAAAACCGGAGATGAGGGATCCCATAGGGGCTCCCTTAAGTTGTTGATGAGCTTCCTAAGCAAATGGAAAGTTCGTTTCTAGACAAAGTTCCAAGAGTTCTAACAAAGCAGATGCAGGGATATCCATGTCGTAGTACTGGAGACGTTCCTCTGCACACTGTCTTGCTAAATCCAATGATATGGAGGTGAACAGAGAAACCACATCGAAGGATACCATTATTTCATCTGCTGCGATTCTCCGTCCTTGTAATTTATCCAAACCTCGGCTGAATTATTGGTTCATGTTTCACAATCCTTTGTCATCGGATAGAGTTTGTGGAATAGCCATTTAGAAATCTTGTAACTAGTTGCACCGACTAACGATACTGTCGGTCGCAGTGGTACTTCAGGTTAGTGAATCTTAGGTAGTCCATAGATCTTAGCAATGACTGGTGCAGTTTGTCGTAAGGATTTGATACTATCTCCTGATAATTGCTTCTTTCCTGTAAGACATTTTAGAACTTTGTCAATGGCTGTGCTCTGCGCTTTAGTAGGGTCCGTGGTAAGAGGTTTGTAGGTTGACCTATCCTTTAATAATGACAACATCTTTTTGTCTTAGTCTGCTTTGTTTAGGATTGCAGTTGATCCTCCTTTGTCCGCAGAAAGTGTGACAATTATTTTGTCACTTTTGAATGTTTTCAGTGTCTTCCTTTATTCGTGTGATAGAACTGAAAAGGGATTTCGATTCTTTAGGTGATGTACACTGCTATTCCGGATTGTAAAGCGTTCATCGTCCGTAAGATTTTCTGCCGATATTATAGACTCCACGTTTGCAAGGAAGTCTGGGTCTTTCGCATCGGATAGATTTTATTTAAGTCCCATAGAAAGTACACTTTTTCGGCTGTTTTAAGTCTTCTTGCTGACAGGTTCACTACCTTCGTCGAGCAAGTTTGGTTTGTAGGAATTCGTTGAGAGACGGCACCCATTTTCTGTCTAAGACACTCCTCTTTTTCTGTCTTTCGACGTTGGAAACACAGGCAATCGTTTCGTTTAGAAATTCAACTACTTCTGAAGGGAGAGTATCTCCGCAGAACTGCGTATGCTGTTCATTAGAAGCAATGGATATAAAGGCTCCAAGCATGTTTTGGCTGTAACGTAAAGCAATTTGACATCCTTGAGTAGTTCTAATGGCAGGTTTTATTTGGACAGATTTTGGCAAAATCTTCATGTTTCGGCATCTGTGTAAAAACGATAACTGTTCTCGCGTGAGACTTTCGCGAATTGCACACTTTTCCCAATGTCTAGCTTCTAGCAAAACAT